GGTTTGCAGGACGCAGGGCAGCAGTCGCAATCATTTGTAGAACACGTTAACAAACAACGTCGGCATGACCGGAGCCAATACAAGTAACTGCAACGGCTTTTCTTGCTGCGGTTGTCAACAATGATCGGCGGTGCTTGCGACGCCGCGCGATTGAGCCGGCGTCCAGCCAGGTAGATACCCACCTACCGAGGCAAGACCTGTGGGCTCTTACGTAGCCATCGTTCGCAGTCACAGGGACGGCCGCGGCTGTGGGTTCTGTTAGTGCTTTTCTGCTTTTACGGTGCGCCTGCTGTTTTCTCTCTCTCTCTCTCCCCATCTCTCTTTTCTGGTTGTGCTCTGAGTCAGTCTGAGAAGAAAAAGGTGGAGGAGGAGGAGGAAAATGAGAATGAGGGGGAGGAGGAGAGCCACTAACCAGCGGCCCGCGGCCGAGAGTGCCTGTTGCTCCATTACTTCGCTGCTGGCCGCTGATTGACTGGCTGGCCAGCTAGCCGACTTGTCTGGGTCGCCTGTCATCATCATTGTCGTCGTCGTCATTGTTGTCGTCGTCGTCGTAGCGGGTTGATCTGTCCATCCGTCCGTCCGTCCGTCGTCGACGGGGTGAACGGCCGTGGTGTGACCCAGAGACGGCTGACGGAGTCAACCAAGTTCAATGTAACAATTCTGGGAGACGATGCTGCAGCTGCCGCTAGCCATAGAATCGAAGTCGAGTAGAAGGCTTGCAGCATTAATAGCAATGATATTGTGTTGCTGGTAATGTCGGTGTTAGCAGAAGCAGCACCCGTGCACGTAGTGGCGCATATTATTGTCAGGGATCGAGGGACGACAACGTCGCCACAGCGACATGGAGCATCAAAACGCCGATAGCTGGAGTATATAGCAGGATATGTAGACAGTCTCAGCGACGGAGAAACAAATCATTATTCTTTACGCGCGGGCGAAAAAAAGACAGGTAAAACCCAACGAAGGAACTGACGAGGTACCTATACATCTTAGCCGGCTGAAAGAAAGCTGATATTGCGGCGAGGCTGGAAGCTTAGAACAAGCCCCGAGTTCATGATGATGTTGCTAACGTTAAATCAGACCTCCGGAGTGTTTTGTGGTCGGGATCAGAGCGTGAGGTTGGGTATGTCGCGCTGGGTTTGCTGACCAACATGGCCTTAGGCCAGATAGCAGTCTTAGCGTTGCAACACGATCAAGAGATACACGGACATGATAGCGACCGAACGTTTAGAACTAGAGCCGAGGGATCGTTGACGCTTTTGACAGGCTATCATTGTTGACAGCACACAATATGCGAAGGCAAGAGACGGAGGAGTGGTACCTGATGGATTCGTCGTTCGGCGCATTATTTTTATAGTTAAAAATTAATCACAAATAAGGAAAGAAAAATAGGAATGAAAAAAGAACAAATGAAAAATATGGAAAGAAATGTGCACGCCAATACAGGAGAGGCTACGTGTATCAACGTCTACCCGTCCATGCATTCTTCGGATCACACAGCGCAGAAAAAAAATCATATATATGTATATATGTCATATGTCTCTTTACAGTGTGGAAGCAAGCGGTCTGCGCGATATTCTTATTACTCAAAAAATGGAAAAAAATGCATTCAAGTAGTTTTCATTCATTGTACATTACTATGATTTTGTTTTTTATGTAGCCGATGATGAACTCAGACATAGATTACCTTTTATTAACCCAATAAAGTGGAATTGCCTTAGTCTTGTGCCAACGTGAGTTCTGAGCTGATGTGTGTAGCTATCATGTATCGGCCCGTAACCAAGATACATGAACACGTTCAGATACATACAGACTGCTGGAAGCTTATGTGCTATCGTTGCAACAGCAGACGGTATATAGCGCACGCACCCCACCGTGGTTCGACACAGCTCCTCCTATCAAACAGATGTTGTGCTCATGTACGGGAACGGATTCTCCGCACCTGGGCCAAGAACCGCCAGAAGCGTCATCAGAGCGTCGAGTGCTGGCCGACCGCCTAAGGCAAAGGCCACAATCGAACGGGCAGACAGATCCTTTGGTTGGTTGTCGCTAGGTAGGTAGGTAGGTAGAGGCAGAATAAGTCAACCTGCTGACGTAACATAGGCCAGATCCGGTAAGTGGTACTGGCACCCAGAACCTGACGATGTCGCACCCCCAATGAATAAACAGACATACAGCAATGGCGGAATGGATGAATGTATAGGCTCGTGCACGCACATGGTGCTATGTATGAATTCACCCGGTCTATAAGTTCCTGATCGTAGATGGCGGCTTGTAGTTGTCCTATGAAACATAAGGATGTCCTGTTGCCTATTCCTGTGGCTTTCATCAACTTTATTACTTACTACATAACTGCTTGCCGTCATTAGTTCCCTAATACCGGTTGCATAAAGGAATTTAGTATATTACTAAAGAAGCCAGCATCCATTCAGGTAGTTCCCACTGATATACCGTTATTGAGCGAATTTGAGTTACCACATTCGCGCAGTGCTTAAACTATTATCCTTATCATTCTCTCTTAGATTTAAACTATCTCGACGGAAGTTAATATCAAACTAGATCTTTTCTACGGATTTCCTAGGTTTATGGGTGTCCGACGAGGGGGAAAGCTTTTCAACAAAATTTTTAAATGTTCATATCTAAAAGCAGACATTGATATTTCTTTGCTTTATGTAATCATTCTACAAGCAAATAGGTAAGAAAAGAGAGAGGTTTCTGTTGTTTCTCCGCGACTACACATAATTTCTAAACTTTAGCCATTTTGCAGAGTAATTCATAATTGAGTAATCACAGCTGATCGTATTGCATAACAATGTTGGTGCGCGTCTTTATACGCTTCGCCACTATATACACATATATGCATATTCCCTAGCTCACCCGGTTTATCTCGCCGATGTTGCTGTTGTGGTCCTCGGGAAGTTTCGGCGATTGGGTCTGGGCCTCGAAATGTCTATTGGGAGTTAATTCGAGTCTGCTTCGTAGTAGCTGGTCTCGCGTAGAGGACGCGGACCACATGGGCAGGAAGAAGGGGGAAGAGCGTTGAACACCTGGTCGGCTCAGCCTGTGGAGTCTATGGAGGGCCGATCGGTTGTCTCGACATGCTTGGCGCTAGATGAAGAGTAGCTCATGCTGCTTACCGCCGCGAGTTAAGGGAGCCCCCGGCTAACGCTGCGGGCGCTCCTTCTCTTTCTATATACTCACATACTAGCGTTTCTCGCCCTTTTTCTGACTAGATGCGCCTCTCTGGTAGCACGATGGATGGCGGCGGTAGAGAAGTCCCAACAAGAGGATGCATAAAGCGGTGTGTAATGCTCTAACACTGTCGCGATCACATGCATCTGGCGTGACTAGCGCCCTTTCACCGAAGAAGCTAGTCCGCTTAGAACAAGCGTGCGGGTCGACGCCGAGGGTATAGGAATGGAGAGGCTGAGGGGGTGGGATAGTCGGTGGCGGCGGCCACAGCTCACATGGGGCTTGTCCCGTTTCTTCCTCTCACCCGTATTCATTGTGTTATTCCTATAGTAGTGTACGGCTAGCTGGCTTTATACTCGTATGTGTGGAAGCCGCAGGGACGCCGATTGATCAGTACGAGGACGAATTGAAAGAAAGGGGGGAGAGAGAGGTAACGACAAGCAGCAAGCAAGATGATAAGCGCGACGCTGCAAAAAAACCTCTCTGCCGAAGGCCACAGGGTACAACAGGGCGACACAAAAGTTGTACCGTTGGTCAAGCCACTACACTGCGTCGATTTCTCGGAGGCGCCCGATACAACACAGCAGTCCAACAAATGCCAGGTTCCTGTCGATGGAAGCAAAGGGCATAATATGCGAACGATCAAGCGCCAGTTCTGGCGATGCCACTAATGTTCTCTATGCATATCTGTAAACATCAAATTCAGAGATTGATCTTTCCTTGATAGCTCATCGAGGACTTCGAAATATACGATTTAGAAGAATTCGTGGGTTCATAATCGTGCTTCTCTAAATGTATGTATCTGGCCGTGTGCCGTATTGTGGATTACGTGCCGGTTCACTCACCAGGGAAAGGGGTGATCAATAGCCCGAGGGCCCATTGGGCGTCTGTTGGAGCAGCAGCTAGAATAGCTTCTACCGATTACATCGCGGCTTGGGGCCGTTTTCTCTGTGCAGCGACGTTGTCTTTGTGGGGCGCCGAGAAGGCCCAAGGGCCTAGCAAGCATTCACACGAAAGCGGCCGAAGTGGTTTTGCCGCTAAAATGAGCTCCATCCGTGGATCCATAAATGGAGCATATTTGTGCCAGTATCTTTGGAGTGTCTGCCGAGCGTCCGGTGTTAGCGCTCCAGATTGGTTATTTTTATCGTTTGTACCCAGCCCTCACTCCCAGTAGCAGCAGCAGCAGCAGCAGCAGCAGCAGTAATAGCAAAAGCACCACACATTAAAGTTGATGGTGTTAGATGCCTGCTTGTTGATGACGGAAGTATCATGGTGGTGCTTCGTGCTGGCCCAAGTGGCGGAGGTGATGCACCTGACCCAGAACCGCCAGACTCAGCTGGACTGCGGCAACGCTTGCCATTAACATGCTGTCATTGCGATAACATCATATTACCGGCTGACTGCTAGCCGGGTTGATATTGGCGTCAAGAGACGAAATAAACTCGACGACGCAGAGTGGACGGAGGCGGCCATGGTGACTGTTACCTTCTTAACAGAAATCTTGTTCCGTCACTGTCTCCAATGGACCATCAAATGCAGAAAAGGTACGGTACCTTATAGAAACACCAATGCTGGGATCGATAGGCTCACATTTAAGTAAACGTAATAAATATTCATCAATCATGTAACTATAATACTTGGTATTGAGTATAGGTGCTCTGTTTTGGAATTACAAGATGTGTGTTTTTCTAACCTTATTAGGTAATCGTTCATTAGCGTAACGTGTTAGTTATGGTATGAGCTTCAAGATGCTTATCTCTTCTTCAGTCTAACTCAAAGCGTTTTTCATAAATTTCTTTTTAATTTAGCGTCCGAGAGCCCGATGTCGTGCAATGCTGAAGTTCCGGACGGTCATTCCGAAAATGAGGAACATGAAGCTGAACATCACGACACCAATTCAGAACACGGCGAAGAGATAAAGGTTCGAGTTCTCAGGGAGCAACATGAAAAAGAGAAGGAGAAGCATACTGTGCCTAGCGGTCCACTTCCACTCTGCACCAGCTCAGCCCCATCTGTGGTGTCGTCGTCGTCATCGTCATCGTCCACCTCCGTCCAGTCAGCACCAGTTGTGCCCCCAGCCTTGGCTGCGTTAATGCCTGCTCTCGTCAAGAAGGAGAAGACGCCGCCTCCTGCGCGAACTCCTCCTGTATCAAGGACGCCACCGCGCCCCCGTTCGGTTCACAACTCCACACCTGTGCAAACACCACCCCAACCCACTCCAGTGTTACCTGCCGGTTTTTCCCATGGTAAGTTCACAATCATCCTCTGCCTTGAAAATACGTAGGTTGGTTTCTGTCAGCCAAGAGGGATAGATCAACAAGGCACAGATATTTCTTTTTATCTTTGCTTCTCTGCGAAGATTTCGAAGATCGATCACTTCGCTAGCAAGCATGAGGCACTAGTGGCGATCGCTATCCGAGTGGCGTTTTGCGTCGGTCGTTTTTACGTCAATCTTCTGATTCGACATCTTGCACAATATGGGTAGAGAGAGGGTGTTACTAGGATAAAATTAATCCGAAACCACCTCTACTACCAATGCGTGTGGTTACTTGGAACTGTTACGTAGAAAAGAAAGTTTAAGCTTGAGTGAGATTGTAATTAACTGTTTTTTTTTTCATGTATTGCTTGCACAGCTCTGCCAAGCCATCTTTCGTTAAACCCCGCGGTGCTGTTCGGTCTGTCGTCCGGCTCGCTTCCGACACAGCTTCAGCCACGCGCCAAGACCCCGCCAGCCCCTAAGGCCCGTCCGTCGACCCCACCGGTTAACTGTAATAGCTGCTCGCAGACCGCTGCCGAGCAGAAGAAGATTCACAGTGTGCTGCAAAAAGTTATCGCTGACCAGAAAGCTACTCAGGAAAGCCAATTAATGTTTCAGAGAGAAATCCTCGCGCACCTTAATATGATCACCTATTCGATTCAGACACTAGCCGCACAGTTCGCGTTTGGCGGCAAGGGCAGTAAGGAAACGCTATCAAACTCGCCCCATAGCCAAGATGAGGATGTTTCGTCAATTCACGATGGCCACTAGTAGTTATAATTGTAGTCGTAGTTGTAGTCGTAGTAGCAGCAGCAGCAGCAGCAGCTGCTGCGATAGTCGTAGCAGTCGTAATAATAACAGTAGTCGTAGTAGTAGTAGTAGTAGTAGTAGTAGAAGTAGTAGAAGTAGTAGAAGTAGTAGAAGTAGTAGTAGTAGTAGTAGTAGTAGTAGTAGTAGTAGTAGTAGTAGTAGTAATAGTAGTAGTACTAGTTGTATCAGTAGTAATAGTAATCAGTTCGGAGCTTCAGTGAAACGACAAGTTCGACGACGACGACGGCGGCGGCGGCGGCGGCGGCGACGACGACGACGACGACGACGACGACAGCGCCGCCGAGGAAGCTGTGGGATAGAAACTTCACAGAAACACAGGGACGAGGTTGAAAAGCAGGGGGCAGACATGGATATAATCCGCACGATGATAGCAAGATTTACTGTTTACAAAGAAGACAATGGCAGGAATTTTGGAAGTCATATTGACGAAGCGCTAGATCTCTACCTGTCTGTCGATCTATGACTGTCAGCCAACGGCCATCCGCCTATAGGTGTTTCGAAAAAGATCGAATGAACTAATTGAACAGACAGATATAGAAACACTGTAGTGTAACCATGCCAGCCGCCTAGCGGTGATATTTCGATGCTAATCTCTCAAAGCAAATAGATAACGACTGATAAGGTACTGTGCATCACACTAAGGAGATTTCGATGCTGATAGTGGTATCAATGCAGTGGTGATCGATTGCTGAACGAGAGGACGTGATGGCGACGTATAAATGTTTCGCTACAAATACGTAGCTACGTGCCTACATGCATATATATATATGTACCGATAACGTTTGCCATACGATAGTGCGAAAAAATTCGATATAATAGTTAAAGAAAATGACGACTAAGAGAGGGTACGCAACGGGTCAAATCAAAATTAGAGGTGCGTTGAGTCACGACAGTGAGAAATACGGATCAACGGAGATTCGATGGCCAGAACAAACACTGTTTACTCGGTATACATATCCATTTATAATATAAATAGTAATGATATTACTATTTCCAATAGCTACTATTATAATTTTTTTCCCGTAGGACGTAATCGTGGCGCTACCGCATAATCCAGACGTAAGTGAAGCGAGAGCCGATGTTATTCTATTACGATATTGAAGATGGAGGTGTGAATATCGGGCGCCTTTCTGGTCGCCTAACTAGAAGTAAACGGAGCGCCGTATACGTATACGCTATGAAAATTGAATTGAGGGGCGATGATCTCATTAGTTGACGGCACCTATGAACTTGCCATACTCCGAAGCGGGTATTGGAAAGGCAAGAAGCAAACGCTCAAGCTAGTTTTGTACCTAAAACCAGTGATCGATGATTAGCCAAGACGACAGACAAGTAATACCACTGAGAGAAGTTAACTATTAAATATTCAATACGATTACTGATACGTAAAGAGTGACAGCAGGTCTCTAAGCTCGTAGTTTTTGTTACTATTAATGTATAACAAGAGGCACGTTTTTACCATGCCACTACGAAATGCTAGCGAAGCATCTAAAAAAGAAGATGCTGCTAGATTTTTTTCTATGGACAAACACACACACACATATATACAAGTTACATGTGCGCCCCTCGACTCACAGTCTGTGTCCTTTTGTAGTGTACATAGATGGTGTCGGTTCAGGTTGATGCTTTCTCAAGAAAGAGTGATGATGTGAAACACTGTGTGGCGGTCCGCTCACACAGGTTCCTATCGTACTGCCAAAGATAGCTTTTTGTATTATGGCTTGAAGGGAATACGTTGCGCTGTACCAAGCGCAATGGTACAACGCAGCTGGCCGCGCGAAGAATGCCAAACCCGCGACCTGCGACACGCACTACGAAGCTATGTCATTTTTGGTCAGCGAGCGCTGTATATTTTATTTATTATATATAACATTGATTTTTGTTTCATACAAATGCCAATTCTAACAAATATATATATTTTTCCTA